ACAAAAGCATAACTGGCTTAATTATCAATAAGTAAAAAGATAACTTAAACAGTATTTAATGAAATGGTTTAATAGAATGCAAGAAAATATACTCTAATTATAAAAGAAAAGTGAATGAGTGAATTTAAACAGAATATGTTGCGTTATAAGTACTTGATCTAATTTTTTGTTTCTTCATTACTCTATTTTTAAAAAATGGAGTTCAAAAGTGTCTTCATTTCTAATGCTCAGAATAAGAGATGTGATTTGTACGAACATATGCAGCAATTATGCCAAAACTAAATTTCTTCAGTTCTGTGGTTTCTATGGTAACCAATATTCACTGTATTTCATTTAGACATACACAACAGAATGGAAGATGGTAGGTTTAAGATTTAATAATCTTTGCAAAAATATTGTGCTATAGTACATGATATTTTAATTATGGGTAAGGGGACAGATCAAATAACTAACATGCTTAGTAGCATGAACATTGGTAGTGATCATCTTTAAAACGTATTTGGATGATTCTTGTGGTAATAGAATTTCGGGCGCTCATTTCTAACAGTTGAATTGAATTAGTTTTTTGCTTGAGCAGGGAGATTGTTCCTACTACTGTCAGGTCTCTTTGACCTCCCAGGAATAAGGAAGAGAATAGTAATTCTCCTATTGTTTTGTTTCTGGCCTTGGAATGCGTGAGGAGGGACACTGAAATAGTATTTGGATGATTCTTGTGGTAATAGAATTTCGGGCGCTCATTTCTAACAGTTGAATTGAATTAGTTTTTTGCTTGAGCAGGGAGATTGTTCCTACTACTGTCAGGTCTCTTTGACCTCCCAGGAATAAGGAAGAGAATAGTAATTCTCCTATTGTTTTGTTTCTGGCCTTGGAATGCGTGAGGAGGGACACTGAAATAGTAGACTAGGTAGCACCTTTAGTCAGAGATAGTTATGTTTTATGAGAACCCATGTCGCAGAATGTGAGCAGCTCTTAATCTTCAGGTATTTATTTTCTCAGTACTACTTGGTAGAGGTATAATTCCTGTTTCCTGATTCATGTCAGAAAGGTGGAACTCAAGAATATATATAGAAAGACAAAGTGTATCATTCATGACTATGGCACAGAATACCTGGATTTAATTCCCTTACCTATTACAGATTTCCAGTGTCCTTGTTTTTCATCCTATTTAATTGTCTGTGGGTTTGTTCGTTTGGTTGTTTAGAGTTCATATTTGCACTAAAGTCTGTGGAAAAAGAATAGGGATTAAGTTTATTTGAGTTGCAGATTATCTAGCTGGAACGAACCACAAGAATAGTGGAATACTGGAAAAAAATCAAATTGATTTTGATACAGAACTATTTCAGGTATTTGTATGATAGTAGTAAGATCTCAGCTATAATACTTTTGGTTTTGAATACCATTAGAAGTTTGTGAGAGTACATTATTTGATCTTAATTCCCTTCTTAAAGCTTAAAGTGGCTGGTATAATGGACTGGTTCTTGGGATCTTGTTCCTGTGAGAGGAATAAAATACAACAAAGAACCTAAGGAATTTTTCCTGTCTTTTGTTCTTTTAATAATAATTCTAATCTTTTTATTAGAATTGGTGGTTTTATTAGCCAGCCTATAAAATTCCACATGAAGCCTTGTTTTCAAGTGCGAGACCTGATTATCACTGTAACATATTTTAATGCTGCAAACTGCTGTTTAAACAACGCTGTGTACTATTTTGAAACATCTGCACTAATTGTAGTTTGGGGGAATAATTTCAGGGACATTAATCCCTTTCTGCATATTCTGAAGTAAACCTGGGCTGCATTTCAGTGGTTAAAAGGATTCACTGCATCACTTGAGGACAGGCAGAAATTGTGCAAGAATAGAATTTCTTAATAGGACCCTAAAATGAAATGGTAAAATGCTGTATTTGCAGAAAGTTAACACTTGGAGGTCACGAAATGATAGAATAAAATGAAGATTTTTTATGGAATGTTAGCTCCTTTTAACTATGAATTAGTTTACAATTTTTATTTATGCTGACTGCATTTTGGGGAAGGAGGAAAAATTCCAAGACAAATGGCATAGTCACAGTGAAGCAGGAATCAATGAGAACATTTTAAACAAAATTCTTCTGTGATTTGGCCATATCTATTGTGCTTATGAGGTAGATAATCTCAATTTGCACTTAGTTTACTTAATAGTGATAGAGTTTTGGTGAAGAGGTAAGTATGGGAGTTGATGAGAAAAAGGTTCTTATAGAATAAGCCTTTTATGAAGCATATTTATGAATAACCCGACACTCTGCCTGGGGAGTGGCGTTTATGATGAGAAATAGTAGTACTGGCTTATGTTATGTAGATAGAAATTCTAACATCTGGGTTCTGATCTCTTTCATTGAAAAAATTTTATGGAGGATTTTGCTTTTAACAAAAATATCGTTAGTTCCTCATCCTTCTATTTGAGATGCTGGTATTAGAAATTTATTTTTAGCAGCTGACAAATTACTTCTGTTATAGTAAAGTACCAAGAAAGTAATTAAAATGTTGTGTGTGTTTATTTTAGCTTTAGTCACAATTAATAATATATACAATATACATATATTTTTATAAATATACATATACACGTACCTGATGAAAGATTCACAATGCTTTTTTTTCCCCCTTCTTTATGGTGCAGCATACAATGACTTTTAAAAGATATCCTGTAGTAATAAGTCTAACATAGTGGTTATCTTTGTCAGAGTGAGAAAGTTAGTCTGAATTCTGTAAAACAGTTTGTGCAGAATAACACTTCCTGAAGGTCAGAGGTATATATTACAGAATTGTGAGTGCTAACTCACTGGATTTGGCTTATTTTTTCTGGATAGGACAATATATAAGAAATTTTTTTATTTGTATTTTGATAGCTACAGCTGTGAACATAAATAGTCTAATATTTGTGTATATTGAGGCTAAGATTTTCAACAGTTACTAAATGAACTACGTGCTGACTAATTTTTTTTCCAAGCCTCAGATTGAAATGATACTTCTGTCATCAACTGTGGATTTGTCCAATTTTTTTTTTTTTGGTGGGTTGTTATGTGGAGTGGAATGCGTCTTTGTGTTGTGTATATGATTCCTTATCAGGCAAGTGATGTTCTCACCTTTATCTTAACACATGCTTGAGTATCAGATAATAGCCTCTTCATATGTTGTTCCCAATGTATTACTGGTTATATAAGCAACAACAAATTGAAACTGCTTCTTAAGCTTTTTTTCTGGATTTCATCCTTTCATATGTAGTATTTTTCTCCTCTTTCCTCCTTTCTCTGGCACTATTCTGTCTGTCAATACTTATTTTCTTTGACTTACAAAGAGTTTCAGATTCGTTTATACTCCTTGTTGGAGCTAATATGGTCCATCTGGTCTGACTGTCAGGATGAGCCTGTAGGAGAGTAGAGTATCGCTTTACAGAGTCCAAGAAGCTGACATCCTGTCAGAGATATAGTTAAAAATTCCAGCTTGCCAAGTCGGCATATTTCTTTGAACAACAGTGAGTCCTGCCACTGGCAATAATTGTTTCAGGAAATTGAAAAAGCTACCAAACTTGGAAAAAATAGGTATTAATGTGCAAATGACATGCAAGAATGGCTCATATAATACATTTTCCATACATTTCCCGAGGAGAGTTGCATAGATGAAAATGTGGTGACTTGAAACTTTGTTATATGTATCATGAACTTTATTTAACTTAAAAAAATATTTTCCATAGCTTTAGTTTGAAAGGTTTTGTTGATATTGTTCAGAGTTTCCAAGTGAATTAGTTTGTTACGGTAACAGAGCAATAATGCTGTCTGTATTGCAGTGCATGGAAGTTCATGTAGAAGATCAGCTGTGGATTCAGCATTTCGTTTGGCAAGCTTGGTACACTTACATTCTTCTAACATCTCTTTGGAACAGACTTGAGTTCGAGTTTGGTGGATCAATAATCTGAGGTATGGAGAATGTGAAGAGCTTATTTTAGTCTTGCTCTGTTTTCTCTGTCCGTCCATCCAGTTGGACTCTCAGGCAACTATTTCCCATTTCAGAGAATTTGGAATAAACGTATCTCTACTTTTTAATAATACTACTTACAAGAATATGGAATGCTAAAATCTATGATCTATGTGATCTTTGTTTCCAGTATTTTATATTGATGAAGACTGTAATATAGGTGTTGGGGATTTTTGTCTTTTTACTAGTCAGTTTTTGTAGGTTGATAGTAGTTAGAAGCCACAATTTATTGTGGACTTCTAATATGCCAATTGCACAAGTTGGTCCACCTGGATCTCTGCATGGCAATACAGTTATTTGTCAAATGTATGAATTTTAAGGGTGATAAAATATCTTGGTAAATTACCTCAGCTTGATGTCCTGAGGCTTAACTACTTAAGTTTTCAGCCAGTATTATTTTTCTGAATTATGCAAATTATAAATAAATAATGTTGGTTTTGTTTATTGTAGTAAATCTGAGTTACAAGTTTATATGCAAACAGGTTGATTATTTTCCTTTCATACATGTCTTCTGTCCATTGAGACAACAGTGTTTCAGACTACAGGTTTATGGACCTCCCTTCCATTGACAGTTTCTTAATTAAAATTCATCTCATAGGTTATCCCTTTTGTTTTTCACATTTCTCTAGTTAGTGTTGGTTACGACTGTCATGATAGGCTCCAAAATAACCTGTATAATTTAAAAAGCCAGGCCACATAGGCTGAAATTTGGCAGTCTTGTTTTTCATTTGATTTTTAACTGTAATTTCATTACTTAAATAGGATCCACTGTGTGATTTGTACTGCCATCAACTGTTTAATTGCTGTTTTTTCCTTAGTAGGAAAAGTGAAAATGGATTTGCTAACCTTTAAAAATACTGTAGATATATCACTGATGGAATACGTTTTCTTGCTGATGAAAATAAGAGGTTTTAAGATGTGTATATGTGTATGTATATATGTATGTGTATTATTATTTTTCTAATCAAAAGGCTGAAAAGTACTACCAGCAATAATGTTTGAAAACCAGTCATTTTCCTGTTCTTCTACGGGCAGTAATAAGCCATCCCAAGGTATGTCAGATACGTCTTCTATTGTACAGTTTTCAAATAGTTTAATGAAGGGCTTAAATTTAAGGTATAAGAAATTATTTTGTCTTTTGTATTTGTAATATTATATAACACTATTCCTCTTCCTTGGTTCTTATGTCGCAGTGCTTGAAAAACCTTCATACAAATGATGCACTTGTTGACTTTGAGTATCAGTCATTGACTTACTGGTGTCACTTCATCCTCTAATGATAGTTCAGTTTTCTATCTGAAAACAAAATTGGCTGTATTTCATTTGTCATTTAAATTTAATTTTTAGATTTTAAGGAAACAATAAATAATTCCACTTTCTCACCAAGTTGTATTTCTAGCTTGCTTTTACAAAGGGATTAGAAGACTTGCGTGTATAAACGTTTGCATTTACCAAGGAAGACCAAAGCAGTAAGGGAGTAATCTTTTTTTATGAAAGCTGTTCAAAAATTTCTTTTTTTTGGAAATGGTGGTATTGTTAGTTGCATTAGTGATGTAAAGAAAGTAAACATAATTTTTACAACAACATTAATGTTAATTTAGTAAAATGTCAGAATAATAACAGTAGAAGCAACTAGGGGAAATAAAAGTGATGGTTGGTTTCAAAATCTGAACTTCTGTGTTGTGCTTCAGAGTGCAAGAAAGATACAAAGTCTATATATGCTTTGTTAGGATTGTCCTGTGTAGGCATCCTGTGAAGGTTTCTGGCTCTAGGAACAGGCAGAGCAAGATCCTATTAAATAGGTTTTGATATCCATTTCAGTGGGCTGTCTTTTCAAACAAAATCTTGCAAACCATCTTTTCCATTCCAGTAAGGCTGTTTATGATAAACTAAAGTTAAAAGAGCCTTATGTAACCTACAGACTTTTAATATTTTAGGCTGACACTTTAATTAAGACACTAAGAGATTATTCTTTTTTTAAAAAAAAAAAACCAGAAATCCACAGACTGTATATAAAGGTTATCTGCTTCTATTTTACAGTTTAATCCTTATTACTGTTATTGTTATTTTTGGTTCATCTCCAAGGCACATTAAAGCATTGTATCGCTCTGAACATAATTGGGTTAATGTTTCATGTTTGTAGGACAGCTTCTTAGACTTTTTAGTAGCTCTACTGCTAAGTTTCAGTGTCTTGTTCTGGTTCCTGACACCTTTCATTAGTGACCGCTGCAGTCAGATTCCCATTCTGTGTATTAAATAAATAGTTAACATTCAGTAGTGTGCCACAATATCATTCATTTATGTGGTTATAAGGCTAACAGAGTTTAAAGAAAACATAATTGTGAAATCCGCATGTTCTCGTAAAACAGTTCATTTATGTTATGTAGCTTTAAATTCCCAGCATGGGAACTACTGTTCTGGAACTTCATTCTTTCATAAGGTTGAGGCAAACATGTGCTGGAATTAAGTATTGTATACATAAGAGTAGTCTAAGCTTGCCTCTAAGGCCTTGTGACCTTTTCTGTTTTGCTCTGGGTGTTTCTATAGTAGCTGCCACCTTTGCCTTTTTGGGTTCTGATATTATTTTACCGTTTGGACAAAATCCTTGCTGAGGACTAGCGTAAAATCATCAAACTCGATTCATTTGGGATTAGTTATGTAAAATTAGTTATAGCAAATTGTATTTTAACCCTAGCCCCCTTTATCATCTCATCTCTTTAAAATTATTCCTTCATATTCTTCAAACATTTTTGAATCTCTCTCCTTGTATTTGAGATTGCATTCAAAAAGGAATAACATTTTGTGCACAAAGTATGCATAGTAATAGATGTAGCTGTTACATTATCTTAGTCAATTTCAAGACCAAAGCTTACCAAGTTCCAAATTAAAGGAAGAAAATCAGGTATGAGAAAATCTCACACATGCCCACACAAGTTCAGCAGCCTTCTGTATTCTCTTTCTTTCTCCAGATAAGAACAAGTGGATCACCACAAGGCAACGTAGCTGTGCTTTTGTGAATACTCCATTACCCTGTATTAACAAAGCTATTTGTCACATTCAAGAGTTAGAATTAAAGATGGAGAAATGCTTTCAACAGGTACATTTATGGTTGAAAATGGCCAAGTGCTTTTTATCTTTATAGGAACAAGAATATTTTTAAATAGGATTACTGTGTTGATTTTTATAAAAATTTAACTTCATGTTATATGTACTCTTCAAAATAGTGCCCAGCAGGTTCATTTACTGGTCATGATGTGTCTTTCATCTACTTAACAGTTTTGGCAAATCAAACTATCTTATTAAAATCAATATACCACAATACCATAATGCAATATCAATACATCATAAAGATTAGTAAATTCATATATGACGATTCAGATGCACAGAGTCTAGTTGCTTCAATGATATCATTGTCTGCAAAAGAGTTTTTGATACTACTCTTGAGTAGATAGTCAAATTGAGCTATGTGCCATTTTCTGTCATTTATAGTAAGCAATGTTTTTTCCTGAAGAGTACTTAACAATTCCTTGATTAAAAAATTTCTTTACTATCATATTGAGAGACATGAATTTGAAAATGTTATGGTTCTTTCTCTAGCAGTACATGATGTTTTCCTAGCCTACATAGATTTTGTCTGAACAGAAACAAGTATAAAGGGAAGCTAAAAAAACGGGTAGGTAGATGAAGAAAGAATGCAATATATAGTAAAATCTTCCTATTAACTTCTTTGAGAACATGATTAGTATCATTTAAATCATTCACTTTTGCTGGAGAAGTGTTTTCCAAATGTTAATAAATTTTGCATATGTCTACACTGCAGTAAGGTCTGATCACTGCTTGCACAGACAAGTTATATTTAAATAATTTATCTCCAATACCAACAATAATGTCGTCATAGCAGCACATCAGGAAAACTATCTTAGATTAGTATTCCACAAACGCTGTTAAATACTCTGCAGGAAGATTTCTGCAACTGCAGCATAGATGGTAGAAGAATCCAAGGTGTATGAACAACTGTTATATCTTGGTTTACAGTATAGACATTAATTTGATAGGAAATTTTATATTGCCTCATTCATCTTTATTTAAAATAATGTGAGAATACTGAAATTATTTTAATGTCATAATTTTGTCATCAGTATACATGAATTAGATGGATAAGCATTGACATGTCCAGATATTTATTCATTTTAATGTTAGCTTAAATTGGTTGTGTAAGTCTTGTGCATATTTTCCACATCTCTTGTAAGTTTGTGTTACTTAGGATGCAGAGATTTAAAATAGTCTGAGGCCTCTAGATGGTGACGTCATTATAACTATGAGTTAAGAGGAGAAAAGGTGGGGTTGCTATAGTATGAGTATTTCATTAATGCTCTTAAAAATAAAAATTAGGCATATATACTGAAATGGCTATACTACAAATATAGGCAGTTTGGATTTTACTTGTCTATGTATGAATTTATTTACACCTCTGCTGGTAAGTTAAATATTACCAGCAATGCGTCCAGTTGACATGGAAAACCTTATATCCATACTGCTAAATTCTTACCCTCCAAACCAGGATAGACATTATGCGCACTGCTTTTGAGGAATGGTCCCTGACTCTTTCCAGTTCCTGAACTGTGCTTGGAAACAGTTTGGGAATGGTTTGTGAATGTGGTAATGTCCCTTACCGTAGGTTGTACCAGTAAGATTTAGTAACAGTTTAATGGTGTAGGTGATCAAGTTGCTGGGCCCAGAAAACTTCCCTGGCAGTGTTTAATTTACTGTTGTAGACATAGCCAAAAAGCATGTGAAGTTCAGACAGAATCTCTGCTGTAGTTTTGAGACTAAAAACAAAGTACAGAGGTTAAGAGTGAAAATAGAATTAACAATACTAAGGGATTTTTAAAAAACATTCTACAAAATTGAGTAATACATAACATGTATGCACAAAAGCTGTGTTTTATTACCAGCCATTTGGAGATGCACAGTTTTTAGGAATTCAAAAACTTTGTAATTATTTTAAAATGTTAAAAAGCATTCATCTGTACATACACTAATTAGATCCTCTTATGATACTAAATTCAGTGGCCCATTATGCTTTTTGTTAGGAAACAGAAGAAGTGAATAACAGCTGAGATGTATAGAATCATAGAATCATAGAATACTTTGTGTTGGAAGGGACCTCTAAAGGTCATCTAGTCCAACCCCCCTGCCGTGGGCAGGGACATCGTCAACTAGATCAGGTTTCTCAGAGCCCCATCCAGCCTGACCTTGAATGTTTCCAGGGATGGGGCATCCACCACCTCTCTGGGCAAC